TTTTAAAATATATTTTTAAAAAATGTTATTTTAATATAAATAAATATACAAAAAAATTAAATTTATAAAAATATATAATAATTGTTTCAAATTTGTATCTACATTACAAAAAAAAATCAATTAATGATGTTGTTCAAAGTGACGCTGTTTGAAAGAGATTCTAAAACGAAAGAGAGAATAATCTCAATTATACTAATACTAAAGTTTTTTTTTTTACTGAATTATATATTTATTGACCACAATATTGCCTTTAAAAGATATTAAAACTGAAGTTCATTATTATTATTATTTTTTTTTTTTTTTAATTATTAATTTAATGCAGCTCATTGTCTTTAGCTCTATTGCTAAGTGCCTTTGCTGCTATCAAGTCATTAAATAAACTAAATTGGCAGCAATCTGACTTGAATAATCAGATATTCTGTTCAAAAATATTATTAGTTAATTTATATTTATTAATTTACATTAATTGAATGAATTAATTAAATTAACTTAATTTATTCTGAAGAAGTTTCTAGCGAAACTTGTTGTCCACAATATCATCAATATCGTCAATCAGAGGTCTTACTCTTGCGATAACTTCATTCTATCGAATCAACGACAATTTCATATACATATGTACACCTCCCAAAAAATAAGTGAGAAAAACTTATTTCCTCTGTTTACATTAATTAAACCTAAAAAAAAAAAAAGCCAAAGTGTCCGACTTCACAACTTAATCTATATATATTATAATACTATATCCAGCTATATCTATCAATAGATATTTCGATATAGATAGATATATGAAATATCTTATATAAGTCATAGATAAATACTTATATAAGATCTTTCAAATATTTGTCTATATTTTAATATCTTACTATATCTATCTATAATATTATATCCAATCATATTCATCTATATCTATTTATGGCTTATATGAGACTTTCACCTGCTTACACATCTAGTAGGGCATTCAGTCTTCGGCTAACTGTAGTATAATTGTACGCTTTTGTTTTCTTCTTAGAGCACTCAACAGCTCTTTCGCAGTCTAGATTAAAGGGGCCTCAATTTAGATAGTTAACAACCGCATCAACAATTACTATATACATATATGTATATGTATATGTATATATAGGTATATTTCGCGGTAAGTCGTAAATGAAAGGCCGCATTATTTTCAGAGCTGAGAAATCGAAATGAGTAACCAGAAATGCGAAGCGTTTCTCATAAACTAAGCGATTGTATAAATAAACTCTTGCGGGTAATTGCGCTCTGATATATGATGAGGGCCACAGACTTGGACGCTGGCTGAGGATGAATCATCGAGTAGTCGGGGTGCTCAGCTGATCTTCTCGAGTTGTGCGTCAGATTTGACTCTCAACGAAATTGTTTTCATTTGTGTGAAAGCGCTTGCAGTGCAATTTGTTTAATTGAAGCCCAAGGTGAAGGTCAGGTGCGGCCAGGCTTGGGCACACAAACAAAAATGAAAAGAAAGGCAGGCCGGGGCATGGGTCGGAATAAAATGAGAAAGCAAACAACTTACATCCATTGCAGCGAGAGTCGAGTACTTTTTCTATGGCACTCTGCACTTAGTATTTGAGGCGAGTGTTTACAAAATTTGTGCCTTTTGCAGCAAGTTTTCCTTTTGGCGCCCAACCGAATGGATAGCTCCAAGATACTTGTTACTTTAGCGGCTTTGAAATGCAAACTGAATGCGAGGCGCTAAAAAAACATAAAATGAGAAGTAAAATAAGAGCACAAGTAAAGCGGCGACGGCGGCAATGAATAAGCGCGAGAGTGAGAGCGACAGAGCGACAGAGCCACAGCGGCCGCAGAGGCCGCAAAGCCCGCAGAGCGAGAGAGCGACAGAGCGAGCGAGAGAGCGTGGAATGAATGGCAAATGAAATGCGGACTGTGTGGAGCTCGAAACTAGTTACTTACTTACAAACATGTATAGTCATATGGAGCGGACAGACAGACAGACGGACAGACAGACAGACAGTGGGCCGCAATAGACAGTGGGGCCAGTCTGACTGATTCATACATTTGGCCAATTGCTCGCTCTGTCCAACTATCTACCTGTCTCGCTCGTGCTGTGGCCACCTGTTTCTGGCTCTTTGTGGCCCGCTGCACTGTAAAACATTTTATTTCAATTAAAGCTGCGGCCTTCTACCCATCAGATAGTTAATATTGCGCTCAGAACGGGCTTTTATTTGGCCGGGCCAAACATGTGACGCGACACAGAAATCTCGCACACGCACACATACACAGTCACACGATGTCATGCCCGATAAATTGTTGCAGATAAAAGCGGCAGATAAAGAGGCAAACAGACAGACTGCAATCAAAACCTGAACCCAAAGCAAAACACCTAAAACTATGCAATCAGAATTTCACTCGAAACGCAATGTCTAAAAAGCGGCAACAGCTTTGTGTGAACTGAGAGAGGGTACGATTAGTTGGGCATGCACTAGGGGTACTCCAATAAAAAAAACCCTTTGTGATCTTAGTATTGCACTAGAGTGCGACTCTATAGTGTAGAGATTTCTTTATAAGAAAATATAAATTTAAAATACAACAAAAAAATATGTTGAAGTTGCACTGTTAAATTAAGTCTCATTTATATAAAAAAGTAATTTTTTTTTATTATTAGCAGGCAAATTAAGTCTCGAAAATTTATCTTTAACTATATTTACATAAAAAGTAAATTGTTTTTTATTATTTCTATATTTAATAATGTTTACTGAATAAATTAGTAAAGTAATTCTAAATACAAATTTAATTTTTTTTTATACCCTTTGATTATATTTTCAACAACTGAATATTTCTTGTTTATGTCATTGCAGCAAATATTCATACAAAAATCATTCATTCATTCATTCATTCAATTAATATACATATCTATGGCATAAATTACATTCGTCATAATTTAAGTAAATTTTCATTAAAAGTTGACTTGATTATTGAAATTGATTCGGGCTAATATTTTATTTTAATTTACTAAACACTATTTTTAGTGTTTATTTTAAATCGTTAAATTTATATTATTGCTTTATAATTTTAATATATGCTTAAATTCCTAATAAATTAATTTTTTAATCAAGTTTTTGAATTTGAAAAATAAATATAATTTCTCAGTTGAAAAGCCTGAGCTAAAAACTTTTAAAAATAAGTTTATAACTTTATGTGATTGTCAATAAAATATCAAGTTAAGTAAATCACAAAAAAAAAACTTTTTTA